GAGAGAGCAAGAGAGATGTAAGAGGTGAGGGAAGGCCCTGTGGTTTAATTGACACACATTCCCTCCCCTAGACATGTCAGCCACGTGGGCTGGGATCCTCAGAACGGATTTGACGTGAGTAGCTCCAGAGATTGCTGTACTCTTCTCAACTTCCACATACTTTCTCATAGAGCAAGGCTCAGATCCCACACACAGAACTGGCCCTCCCCACAACCCTCTGGGAACCTCCCTATGATGGATATGGAATTACTCTGTGGCCCTTTCCAATTCACTTTATTCTTTCAACATTCTCGGCCCCTTTTCCCCCTACTGGAGCAGGTGAACAACCTAGACCCGGATCTGCGGAGCCTTTTCTCCAGGGCTGGGATCAGTGATGCTCAGCTTTCTGACGTAGAGACCTCGAAGCTTATTTATGACTTCATTGAGGACCAGGGTGGGCTAGAGGCTGTCAGACAGGAGATGAGGCGCCAGGGTAAGCTACCTTTTTCTCTGGTCCTGGAGCTTGTTACCCTAGAAATGTACTTAAGCTACTCGGATTTCATGCAAAAGAAACAAGTCTATCATTGGAGTACCTAGTTTACAAATAAGAAAAAAATATGACGCTCAAAACAGTAAAAAAAAAAAAAATCATACTTCTGTGTTATTTTCCTCTGTGCAGAGCCCCTCCAGCCACCGCCACCACCATACAGAGATGGAGGAAGCCATCCCGCACGAGCTTCTGTTGTGGGGAGCAATAAGGGTCGCTGGGGTCTACAGCCCCCTGTACCAATGGAGGGTGTCCCGCCACCACCAACACTCCGAGGGTCTCCAACGCCCAGCCGAGGGGGCCTTTCACCACCACCCGCTCCAGCCACGGGAATCTCTGGACCACGAGCCCCTCTAGTGCCTGGTGCTGGCGAACCCCCAATACTGCTACCGCCACCACCACCACCTCCTCCTCCTCCTCCTCCTCCGCCACCCTGCACTGGAAGTGGGCCAGCCCCTCCCTCAATTCCTCCTATTCCAGTGTCTGAGGAGACACCAGCCCTGGGTGGTGGCCGGGACTCACTTTTGGATCAAATCCGGCAGGGAATTCAACTGAATAAGGTAAATATGGGCAGGCTAGATAAACAGGGGTCTGTGTGAGTCAGGGCATTTGTGGGCCACAGCCGAGATTGAGGAATGTATCGGGCTTTGGGGGGATGCCATGATGAATTGGGAGATTGGCATAGTCCCTTGAAAGAGACTGGGATGTGTGAGAGAAGAAATGAAGAAAGGGTAGGAGAAGTGCTCTTTCCACAGTCCTGAGCCCTGTCTGCTCAATCTCTCCCTGCAGACCCGTGGAGCCACAGAGAACTCAGGGCAGCAACCCCGTGACCAGAACTCAGAGGGCCTTGTGGGAGCCCTGATGTATGTGATTCAGAAGAGGAATAAAGTCATCCATTCCTCAGGTGAGCCCAATCTGCCCCAATTGGGACCTCACTAAATGGCTAGCTAACGCTGGCTTGAAAACAGCTCCAGGTAGCACTCCTAATGGGAACACATGAGGCCCATGTGGCAGTATAAGCCTGTAATCCCAGGCCTGGAAAAGTTGAGGAAGGGGCATCTTGAACTCAGGGCCAGCCGAGTCAGGAAAAAGTAACAGTAGAGGCTAGAGATGGGCCTGAGTGGCAGAGCTCTTCCCTAGCGTGCTTGAGTTCTTCGGTTCCCCTCCCAGCAAATAAAAAGAACACAGAACAAAACCAACCTGACATTCCCCACCTGGAAG